TGTCCAAACCAATACACCCACTGTCCCTCCTCTGGACACGTCCAAACCAATACACCCACTGTCCCTCCTCTGGACACGTCCAGACCAATATACCCTGTCCCTCCTCTGGACACGTCCAAACCAATACACCCACTGTCCCTCCTCTGGACATGTCCAAACCAATATACCCACTGTCCCTCTCCCAAGGAGAACCTCAGCATCTTCATCTCTGACACTTTCAGTTCTGTCTCCTGTCTTTTGGTCCATGTCTTTGTCTCGAAGACAACACAACTGGTCTCACGACTCACTTGTAAACCTTTGCTGTCACCCCCTTTTGTCACAAATCACTCCTGAAACTTTTCTCCTTCCTGCCTGGACTCTCTTTTTCCCCTCTTTAAAGTTTTCCTGGACAGCAGAGCTGAGGTAAAACAGATGAAAGTAAACTAAAAGAAAAAAAATAAATTAAAGATAATGACTTGTGGCTACTGAAAACTCTATCAAATAAACATAAAACTCAACATGTTCTGGAGGTACAGAAAGACTCTGCTTGTAAATTTGAACAGAATCAATAACAAGAACATTTTTGTGTATCAGTGAGGCCTTCACTCACACGCTGCAGATTAGAAGTCTCATTAAAGGCCTCTAAATGAAGTGACCGTCTATTTTCAGCTTTAGACGAGGATAAAAGAGGAACTAAGAGATAAATAAAGGACTACGAGACAAACAGTCCAGTTCTTCATGTGCAGCACAAAAACACATCAACATTTACTGWTAATACTGTATTCAGGTATTTTAAAAAGGTACTCATCACAAAGTATGAAATTAAATATTAAAGAATCCTGCAGTATACAGAATGAAAGAGTTCTCTCCAGTTATTCTTAAAATATATGCAACGCAATTTATAAAACGCGAGTCCCCAGAAGAGGTAAACAAATATTTGGCCTGTTTAGGCAAAATGAGTCGGAATAAAAGGGAAATTTTAAATTTTTGTCGTATTTGAGATTTGTATAAAAGACTCCATACTTTAAAAAAGCATCAAGTCAAACTTACCCGCGGTTTGCTTTTCCCACTTTTAAACTTCTTCTTTGGTTTCCTGCAGTTACTCAGTTTGAGGTTTTTAGACAGAGCCAACACCAGTCCCTGAAATCGCCTCATTGGAAAACCATCGACCACACACAGCAGTGTGTGTGTGTGTGTGTGCAACTAAAACAGATAATTAGTTGTGATATAAAGAGAAAGTGGGTGAGTGTGTGATATATACAGTGAGTGAGTGTCAGTGAGGGAGGAGACGGGGAGGGAGTCGGCTTTCTGAAAATGTGAGGAGGAGGAAGAGGAGGACATGTTTTACTAGTGARTGAGCTGTAGCTTTGATCACTAAATGTGATCCTTTGAGAAAGAAAGATGTTTTTATGCAACTGTTGCAACAATAAAGTCGGTTTTCTAAGAATTTATATTCCCACAAAAAATATCTTTTATTTCTTTATGGATTTTAAAATCTTACTAAAGATACTCGGCTTAAACGGATAGCTTAGATCCATCAAAGTGGGGTTCTGTGAAAAGTTTATTAACAATAGATATCTTACCTGCTGTAGAAAGKMCTTCAGTTTGGAGAAATGTCTCATTTTTATAGTATTTCATGTCATGTATTCTATTAATCACTACACCGCCGTCAGTTTCACATTTCAGTTATTTACATGGAATCCTTTGTTCATTTAAACTAAAAAAAAAAGCAGCAGCAGCTAGCTATGGCACTTCCTGACGGAATACATTTTTTACACATGAATATTAGTGTAGTGTGGAATTAAAGGCAATGTAAAGGTTTATAAAGTAATGCTCTTAATCTGACTTGATCTCAGCTGCTTCCAGACTAGCCGTTAGCTCATTAATCTGATKCAGAATTAACCCCTTAACAGCTGCCCCTGAAATTACAAAAAGCCTTTTGAATTTTTTTAAGGGTGTCAAATTAAAGTTAAAACCCGGAGGAAGTCGTCTGACACCCTGATTTTCAAAACAAAGCCGCCGGTAGCATCTAGAAACGTTTAAAGGCAGAAACAGCACCGTTTTTGCCCACRGCTGGAACAAAGACTATTTCTTCAGTCTGAGGTCAATCAAAAAGGTATCTACAATAAGTAATACACTTATTGCTCATAACCATTCAAAACAATAATTTTAATGACACTGTATATTTATAAAACATTTTTCTTCAGCTGGAGCCGTGCAGGTCAAAGCTGATGTCTTTACGCATTAAAGTGCCTGTGACYTCAAATTTTTGTTATACATATGAAGGCATTTTTAAAAAGAGGACATTGATGAAATATCGCAAAAGGAATTTCATGTCGCTGAGATGGACAGTTGTTGAGATATTTGCCTGGGAAATAACAGGAAGTGATGTCAAAGGGGAATATCTGCATGTAAAGAGAGCATTGCTACAACAGCCAACAACACAGACTGTAGAGAAGAATCTGATGTTTCTTTAGATTATTTTGAGTCTCTATCAGAGATGAAGAATCAGAGTTCGAATAATATTGTTTCAATAAACAAAGACCAGAGATTTTTCTTTGTTAAAGCGTTCCCCTTTGATGTCACTTCCTGTTTCCCTTTGGCTGAGCCAAGTTCAAARGAAAATAGGCCAGTTATGAGACAAAATGGGTTAAATCGTGTGAATTATTCCAACTTTCTTAAACATGAAGATGTTTTCTTTGACATTTTGTATTTGAAGAATATGCATGTCACAGGCACTTTAAATGTTTAATTACTGTTGACGGAAGAGGCCTCTGAAATGCTTTTAATGTGTCATTTAAAAACATTTCAAAATAAAATATAAGTTTCAAGAGATATCACTGGAAACGGACAAGGTTACCAAAAAATACAAAATAAAAAAGAGAGTGAGAAGACAGGTATCAAACCCCATTTGAGCTCCATATTAAAAGCAGCATTCAGCAGTAAAACCYTCTGCTGGTGATATTTCCTTTCAGCGTGTATCTATATTTGAACATGTTTGTATTGTTTGTTCGGCGGTGTGAAGCGAAGCCGTCCAGCAGCAGCAGGGGTGAAGCTGCAGAGCAGAGATTACAGAAGCTGCGCTGATAAACTGCAGCACCACTTGTTCACACAGAAAGGACACACAAAGCACAAGCTGAGCCCCCCCTCCTTCTCACCCCTCCCCTCTTTTCTCTCRGTCACCAAAACACACACATAAGGTCACATGTCGGGTTCATGTGCTCCAACACACAACCTCTGCTGAACTGCATCGATCACAGCTGGCAGAAAATCTGTGGACGGTTCAAAGGAAAGCAGAACACAAACATTATTATGCACCGTGAATCTACAGGCTAAATACGCTCATTAGCATAAAAAGTTAACAACACGCACACACCGTGCTAAATCTTCGACACCGTGTGAATTCCACTGATAATTAAACCCTACAATCCTTTGCAGCTGCATATCTCTTGGTTAAACAGTTTATCACACAGCTTTGCTTTGGTGAAAYCACCATCGCCGATGTGTGACTCAGAAATCAGCGCTGCGATCAACCATAGAAGAAGAAACGTGCTTTCAGAAGTGACAGGAAGTGCTTGTCCAGGTCTGTTATCAGTGTTTATGTGTGCACAGGAACTGTTCTGAGTATGTTGGGGGTGTTTTTTTCTCCCATAGTTCTTCAAACAAACAATATGAATTCATCACAGTGATTTTTTTTTATCTTAATATACACAACATATAAATCTACACACGCAGAAAACAATAAAAACTTAATTAGATAACCCAGTTTTCTCTCTTCCAACCCCATCAGAAACTTAACCATGAGTTGTTTCTTCTTTACTAAAAGAAACATTATAAATCTAGGCTGTAGATGTGAGTTATACTGGTGAATTTGGTGCTGTAGTTTTCTTATAAATCATTTAAAATGATGACAGTTGTTGTGTGACCGTTCCAGAAGGATTAAACTGGTGTTCACTCATTCGTTCACTTATCTGTTTTTACTCATCTTGGAGTTGTTATCGTCCCTCTAACAGTTTTATTTTCCTTAAACACCAGAGCTCTTCACAGACTTAAGTTCTGAGCTGTTGGTCATGGAGGCACAATTTAAATTAATAAAAAAAGGTCTGCTCCTCGGTAAATGAAGCATCATGAAAACATAAATCTGATAATGTGGGCGAGGCGAACTGTTGCCTTTTAAAGACCATTTAAAAAAATGGTCATTTATTCTGTCTCTTCCCTGAAGATGCCTTAAATATCAGCTAATAAACTGAATTTACACGCTCAAATGAGGAGGAAGCAGATATGAAGCAGCACTTACTAAAATTAAATTATACAACTTTTCTGGACAGTTAAATCAGAGGGAAGTCTTAAATAATAAATAAATAAACGCCTGGAGTGGAAGGCAAAGAAGTTTTGTTTTTTTAATCTGAATTGATGGTTATGAATGAAAATATAAAAGAAACTCAGAAATGCCACCAGCTCCAACGTTAGCAGCTGTTCATCTGAAGATGGTTTGGTTTAGACACAACAGCAGTCTGTGCTCACACACAAACATCTTTATCTTRAAAAACAGCGTGCAAAAAAACACAAAAACTTCAAGTTCCCAAACAATTCTCACTCTGGAGAAACAGCCTGAGAAATCTGAATTTACTGAGAATTGCTGTTTTGTATGCAGAATCGGTTAATGTTAAAGGTTAGATTTGTTTTGTATTTTTTAGTGTTTAAAAACACAAACAGTGTAAATGTTCAGTGAGACACAGCACTACAAACAGCTGCCATCTGACGATGTGAGAATGTTAAATATAGGCACTGTTTTCGTTGGAAAATGAAGGTACTGACAGCTTTCTGTGACAGCTCTCTGCCCAGTAAAATATGTGTTGGCTACTTAAAATTACAGAGGAGGTTTCCGATGATATCATGCTCTGTTTTTGCATTTACTGTAACAATCGCTTTCTGCTGCCTCGTGTATTCTTGTATTAAAAGGTAACACAAGGGCTGCCACATGAATCACATCTTAAACAAACAGAATAATTGGATTTAAATACTTTCACAGTGAATTAAAGGTATAAGAAAACTCTTAGTTTTGAATCATTAAATAAAACAAGAGGAGGTCAAAGATCAAGGTAGCTSTTTCCTTCTGTGTTTCTCCCTCTGGCTTCCCCTCTCTAAGCCGTAAACATGTCTCTATATCTTCAGTGTTTTGTCTTCAGCTGACAGCAGCCAAACCAAACCACAAAGAGCTGTAGTGTTTTCTGAGATTGTGTGAATGTGTGTGAGACAGACACAGTGAAGAAGAGAAATGGCCGCTGACAGAGGAAGGACAGCAGGGAAACTGGGATACTAATGCTCATTTATTCTAGGATTACACTATCTGCAAACTCCAGACTCCAACTGTGCGCCCTACTCTACAGAAACGTACGAATACCACAATGTCCTGCAGATCTAGCCGCTTTAGAGCCATCAAAGCTGAAGAGATCATATTTGTCTTTTGCACAGTTTGTGATTCGAACATCAGCGAGTGAAGGATGGGTAGATCAGGAACAAAACTGCAAACACAACGCTGTCTAAAGTTTCTGACAGGAAACCATTTGAGACGAGGAGGACGAGCTGGACGGCTCTTTTTCCGTGTCCTCTTTATTAAAAAGTGGATTTATTTTCTGGTTGAACTTGTGATTTTGAGCTCATGAATTTCTATCATGTGATGTGCCCAAAACTGAGAGAACAAAAATATCTCACGGCAAAGAAAGATGGTTTGAAGTGCGCAAAGACAACAAGAGGTCTGTCAGGGAGAGCTGAAGCAAAAACTATTATGAATATCAAGAAACTGCTGTTCAAAACCAAACGACGCACTAACTAGCAGCCATCCGTACAAACAAACATTACAGACGATGCTGAAACAACAAACAGATATGAACACTGTTTAGACTGCAATGCATTGCAAAATACAGATTTTGACAATGTGCATTATTAACTGTAAAAAGGTTGATTACCTCTTCGGTATCTCCTCAAGTTTTAGTGATCCATCCACTTAAATCAGATGTGTTAATATAGAAAAACATCTAAAACATATAGGACAGGACTATTCAACTACCGGCCCGCGGGCCACATCCGGCCTTCAAGTGACCAAATTTCGGTCCGCCAATTAGTTCATTCATCATCTCTTAAAGGGCCAATATTATGTGTTTCTCAGGCATATATTTAAATACTATACCATAATAAAGTATCTATGTCACCTTTAGTTGTTATTAAAATGCTATTTTTGTTTAAATAGAAAATAAACTTATCCTCTTATCACTTCCTCTTCTAAGTGCCTTGAAATTGGCCTCTGTCTCTTTAAGAACCACCTTCTGCTTCTGTCTCGCCCATTTAGGTGCGCGTGCGCTATGATGCAGTTTACTTGTCATCTGAAAAGAGCTTCACTGTATGAGAAGTAGTTAGGAGCTCAGCAGACAGTTAGGTTTCACTTTCAGTTTCACTCCTTGTTTGCTTTGTTACTGCCGAGAGCCTGCAGGAGTCATGGGCGGGGTGTGTACTAGGGTGAGGGGTGTGCTCCCAGGAAATTCGGCTTGGAGACACGTCCCAGGGGCGTTTCTGGTCTCCACCTGATATATAACATGATATAAAACTCAAAAAAGTTGATTTTACAAGATATTGCCCCTTTAAGCCCAAACCCCCAATTTTCTACTTTAATTACTCCAAGTTATTTTAGTTAAACTTAGACATGTTTGGTATCTACAGAAATGTCAGAAACCATTTCTAAGCACACTAAAGACAGTTAACATTACAAGCAGTTGAAGATAAAACTATGAAAGTGAAAATAAAATTGGTTAAAAGATATGTCAAAATAATATGTGTTAAAGGAGGCATAGTGGTTTTTTTATATTTTTTGATTATCACTACGTTTTAAGAGTTCTGTATGTTATATTCATGATTAAATACAGCAAAAATAAACTATTTCACAGGTAACAGATCTTTGTAATACTTGGTTTATTTACATAATAACTTTAATTGCTGGATGTTGAAGCTGTTGACCTGCAGTCACTGTGGCCCCCGAAGCAATTTAATTGAATACCCCTGATGTAGGATAAGATTTAAAATAATGTGTGCAATGGGTGAATGCACACTCTTTATATTTTAGCACCACCTAATCACATTTAAATCTAATTTACCCAGTTCCAGGCTTAATGACCCAAAAGAGAGGCCTGAAAAAAGTACCTTAATAAATTGGGGCGGGGGTGTAATAACCAACTAGCCTCACAACTTGAACATACATTTGTTCAATTTCAAAACAATATTTAAGCATATATGAAGATAATGGGGAAAAAAACTGCATTTAAGTTTTTAAATCTTAACCTGAGGATAAAACGCAATTTTATGCAGGCAAGCTAAATGCTAACTAGCTTACTGTGGCGCGTGAGACTAACTACATTTTTTAAATTAAAATGATACCTTAAAATCACCCGTAAAATTATGTGTTTGTTAAACTATTTCTATATTAAAAGTCTGTAAGCTTCTAAATTGTTTGCCTCAGTTTAACATGAGTATTTTTTAATTTTTATTTTAGCTTTGACCCTTATTAAAGGTTATATATTTGCTAGCCTGAACTCTCACGCGCACAGACCAACATCCTGTTTGGGTTTATCAATGGAAAAACTTACCGGTAACATTCCCGCRGCTCAAATCAAGCAGTCCCGTCCCGTCTGGAAAAAAATAAAAAACCTTAGTTTATTTCCTCCACTTCTTCTCTCTTCTTTAAATTATCTTTTTCTGTTCTTTTCGCGCCAACTCTTCTCCTCTTCCTCCGTTCTGTCAGCGAGTCCTGCCAGATTTCCAGATGCTTAAAAACTCCCAACTCCTCTCTCCTCTCCTCTCTCTCCGCTTTCCTGACGAGAAGCCCACCCTCTTCCTTCCTTCCTCTTTCACAGACACACGAACCGGCCGGACCTGTCTGCGGAGAAACAGATGAATATTAAATAATATTAAATAATATTAATAATGAAAACTGTGAAACTGCAGCCCCCATCGATCCGTCACATTTCTGATCGCATCCTTCTCCTGATGGGGATGAAGAGCGGATATTCCTGCGGTTTGATCCGCGGGATAATGAACCGGGTTACACCGGGTTATCCATCCAATCCCCCGGTCTCCTCCTGCCCCACACACTAAGACCACAACCCGCCTAAATGTTTCCTAAAAGTTCTTATACATATATAAAAAATAATAACTTGCCAACTATCAAATTATTAATAAATTATATTTTATAGCGCTTCGATCAACGGAATTTTGAAACTAGAGCGCCCTCTGTCNATATTTTATAGCGCTTCGATCAACGGAATTTTGAAACTAGAGCGCCCTCTGTCCGCCAGGATCGCAAATTACAGTCTTCTATAACCAATGTGGATTCTCATAAACACTAAAAAAAAAAACCTCACTAAACGTGACAGAAAAAAACTTCAAATTCATGTAAAAAAAAACAAAGTTACAGAAGAAAAAATCTAACATAAATTAATGTTTTTGTAAATTACATAAAAAGGCGTTAATAAATGTGATTTTTGAAGAGCGTCCTCTGTCGGATGTTGGAGGATTAAATTCAAACTCAAGGCACTAATTAATTAATGTATAAATGCTAAAAAAAATAACAAATGAAAATATAGGAATCTAAAGTAAGAGGTTTATGTCACAAATTTAGTAATATTAAACATAAAAATCTGTTTTCCCTAAGCTAAACACAAAATTTTAACTTTTTCAGTAAACATCCTTTAGAAATCTGTCCCGTAACATTTGAAAAATAAAATTTAAACACATTTTCCTGAATATTTACACAAATTATCTTAACTGGAGTCAGCTCAAATGTTAAAATGTCCTATACYTGATTTAGGAAACAAAATGTAATTTTCATGACTTTATGTTTGTGATTATTCAGTTTGCGAATGTTGACCCTTTTAGATGAAAGCCTATATTTTGTTTATTGCAGAAATCCAAAAATGGACAAATTAGAATCTACGGGACGTTGCACAACCACCACATGATGTTTTGTAGCTTACAGCAAGCTTAGAGATGTTCAGCTGTCGTAAATTCTGCAGATTATCACAAAACTCTCCTCTGCTGCCAAGAACATGTGTGGCCTTAATATTCTAATTTTTTATATCAAGCTGGAACCGTTTACACAACTTAAAACATGTTTGTTCTGTAAACAGGACGTCCACACTGTCTGATCAGGAGTTAATTAGTTTTTTCTGTTTAACTGCCTTTTTGAACAAATCAGTGGTTGGATTTTAAAGAAACTATCAGAAATAAATCATTGGATGAGTTATGATTCAAGATGGCTGCCACTGGGGATCACTCTTAGCAAAAATGAAACTGTCAATTCTAGATATTGATGTAAAATTTGGTGGTAGTAGCTGAGGGTCATCCCCAACACATACAGCGATAACAGGCATTAAGCATTCCTTCAAGGAATGCTAGTTTATTTATGTTAAATCAGAACTTTTTTTTCTAAGTGTAGCTTTGTGTGTTTGTTACCAGGTCAGTCAATAAAACTGAAAGTCAAACAGCGTCACCGCAGCCAGAGGCTCGCTCCATCTGAGCAACACGTCCTCGCAAAGTTCACATCGACCCATCTCTGCAGAGCAACACGTTCATAATGGTCTTCGTTGCCTTTATGCTAAAATAAGTTCATAAAAAAAACAACAGAAAGCACTAAATGCGACACTAAAGCACTTTAATTATCCAACACGAACAGAGCTTGTGTATCATTTCACAAAGACATGGTGAAATCAATAAATAAGACCAGAGATACAAGGTTTAAAGAAAAGAAAAATAATAACAGCACAGAGAACAAGAGAATATTTAATTATTAATTATTAGAGCCAGAAAAAGAAGAACTTTGGCCACTAAAGTCCAGCTGTTTCCATGTTGCTGTAACAAGAAAACAAAGATGAATGAAAAATAACAGGTTCTTATGTTTCTAACGTTTTTACCTTCATATAGATCATTTATCCTGCAGGATTAACAACCACAAACTGTCACGATGAAGTAAAAACATTAAAATACAGAAATTAAACATAACAGGTTTTAACAGGATCATTTGTCAAACTCCATCTTTTTTTCCAGTTAAACATGATTTGTTGCTTTGGTGAAATTATTTAGACAAAAAGATTCACATTTATGGACAAAGACAGATAGTTCAGTCAGAAATCATTTAACATGTAACAAGTTTTAATTATCTTAAATACAGAATAACTCAATTTTGCTTTAAAATCAGGATTTTTTTTTTAATTTAATCCGAACACTTTAATTTTTTTCTTTTTGCCACTTGTTGCTAATTTTGATTGCAGGACATTAAATTTACTAATAAGAAAAGATTAAAGTAAATCAGTGTGAGCTAATTAAATCACAAACTGCCAACTATTTATTCAGCGTTTTAAATCAAACAGGAAACAACTAAGTAGCTGCGGACTACAGAAGAATCGACCCAAAACAAGAAATCTGAGCTGAACCTGCTTCAATAAACTGAGAACTATGAAACATATGATTTTCACTTTCACAGACAAAAAAAGAAAATAAAATAAAAAAAGAAGCTTTTGGTTTAACTTTGCTAAGCTTGTATGGGTCTCTGCTAAATGTTTGAGTAAAGTTGCGAACCGAAGAGGAGAAGAAAAGCTGACCACCTTCATGTTTTTTCTGTTTTGCTTTAGCAATCCTACTGCAAGCAGCAGTTCTGTCCGTTTGCATCTTTGGAGCGCAGGCAAAGCTTCGGCTTGTAGTTCTCCAGGTACTGCAGCTGCTTGGCGTTCAAAGCACCGCGTCGCTTTCTGATGGCGTGAAAACAAACAAATCGAGGTTAGAACTCTTAATAAAAAAGGGACGGTATGAAGAGGTGAACAGGAGGTGGAAGAGCTGAAGGTGTTGAGGTTTTACTTAGCAGTGACAAAGATGGAGAAGGAAGGACAAGAGCTATATGGATGCAGTTAGAGAGGACATGGAGGTAGCTGGAGTGAGGTGGAGGAGGATGACTCACTGTGGAGACCCCTGAAGAGAAAACAGCCAGAAGAAAAAGACGTAGATTTAAAAGGATTGCACTCACTGTCTTATTAAGTGCACTGCGTCTTCATATTCCATTCCACATTCGATTAGAGCCAAGGCCACCAACACAGGAGCTCTGCAGACAGGAAATGTGTCAAAAGATTAAAAAATAAAAATAAGAATAAACAGCATTAGCGCCGACGCTATATTGCCTTATATGTATTAGCTCAAAACTAGCGCAACAAACAAGCTAAACTGAGGTCCTCCATCCATATTTTCAGTTCCAGGCTGAGTCATTTTTGRGTTCCCCTCTCTGTCATGTGGATGGAGGACCTCAGTGACGAGAGGAGAATGTGTAGCGCTGAGCTAATACATAGCGTCGGGGCTAACACTAAAGCTAACAGGCTAAGCTGAGGCTCTTCTTCATGAAGCAGCTCTGTTGTCCTGCATCCATATTTTCAGTTACAGGCTGAGTCATTTCTACCTTCTCCTCTCTGTCAACGCTCTCTGGTTTCATTTAAAAAAGAGTCGATCATCAGATATTGTCCAAGATTAACCTTCAGGGTGGATATAGCTCGCTAGCAGCCTCGCACCGAGGAACTATCCACGTCGTTTACCCAGAAAGCTTTGCGTGTAAATAAAATGGCCCCATCCGTGTAATATATTTTTAAAAATTTAGTTTAAAAATTATAAATACTTAACAGCAGTATTTTTACCGTCTTTATTTTACAGTTAAAATATATGTTTATTAAATAAAGTCTAATGTTACAATCTGGTAATCTGTTACAACTAATCGTGGATCCCTTTAAATTGTCACATTAGTTGTCATCAGCTAAATGCTGCAATTAATCGCGATTAATTTTTTGGCCAATATTGCCAAACCCTACAGTGCACACGCCGTTTTCTTGTTTTTACATTTGTTGTTGTGTTCATACTGACCGTCCCAGTCCAGCCACGCAGTGCACTGCCACACAGGAGCCGGGCTCATCCCTGAATTTCACCTGCAGCAGATTCAGCCAATCATCAACCACCTGGTCAGGTGGGGCGGAGCCATCGTCAAATGGCCAATCCTGGATTAAAGACATGTTTTTTTGGCAGTAAGATAATCTGCTTTTTGGTTATTTTTCTGGATTAGGAAGCAATTCCTGGATCCAGAACCTTCTGGAAATATGTGTCAGATTTATAATTTGCTATGTTTGTACAGTCAAAGATAAAAAACATGAAATATGTATTGTTTTCCACCAGTTCCTCATCTGTGGTCAGATCCATGTTTAACCCATTCTAACTGGATTTAGGTTTTGCTGCAAACTCAGATGCAGAATTAATTCTTATTGATTTCAACTCCACATTACTCCCAGAAGAAATACAAAAATTAATTGTTTATGTGCATCACCTACCAGGACTTGTATTCCTTCTTGTTCCACCGGGGTCTTGTCATARGTGGCAGCACACACTCTAACCAGGGTGTTGACTCCAAACGCCTTTAAATCCTTTAAAATTAAACACAAACTCATTTTTTTGTTCATTTTGGACAAAAAAAAGAAAAAGAAATTGAACTTTTTAAAAACGTGAGCATTTAATACCTCTATAAACTTTCCCAGTTGTGGYTTAGTGGGATTGTGCGTGATGAGGAATCTCAGGCAGTCATAGGAGATCTCGACTGGAGCCGGCCGGTTCATTTTGAATCACTCAAAAGGTTCGTTACTATAACAGTACAAGGAGCTTCAAAAAATAAACGTAACAACAAAAAGGTCTTCTAGTAAAAAAAAATGCTTTCACTTACTTAAAAACAACTTCTTTATCTAAAAATTCTATTTGACTTAAGGMCTGAGAATAACCTCTATTTGGTGAAGTGGTGAAAAAAATATTTTGGCAATAAAACTAAATTTGGCCAAAGTTTAGATCTTACAGATTTAGAGTGAGATTAACTGAGAGACTAAATTAAATTTTCTCCTTCAGCGTTTCCAATCTGTCAGCCAAATCAAAGACTTGAACAGAAGAAAAATTTAAAAAGGAGGTGAGCAGAGGGGAAACTCGCAGGCTGTAACCGACGCCTCTCCTTCTCCCAGGACAGGTCACAGACTGATGGTTGGCTTGTCTTCATATGTGTTCGACAGGATGGCAGCGAGGACCTGCGGGGACATGAGCCACATGTATCATACCTAACATCTGTCCCACTCTGGTGTGACACGGTAACGTTCCTCCCTCGGCTCCGAGCCGCTGTGTGACTGACCTGTGTTTGTGTGCGAATGGCAGTGATTGTGCCTGGTCTTCCTGTTCACTTGTCCACAATGAGCAGCAGGTGCTGAGCTTGGCAAAACTCTCCTCCGAGCCTCGCAAACGCCATACATGTGCAGCCTGGGCGAGACAAGCCGGTGAGCCGCAGGAGCGGCCGCTGTGCTCACAGACGGGAGACACGTGGCGGAATACTCACTGCGCTGACAGCTGAGGAGATAGTTCATTGAGCGGACACAGGAAAATGTGACGGCTCTCGGATGTAGACACACCATTGATGATGATGCTGCTGTGGTTCTGGGTCCCGGCTGACACAACCTGCTAGCTTCAAGCTAACCTGACGCAAAAAAAAGACAAAAAAAGGTTAAATGATCAATAATGTCCTCCTTTTTTACAAGCAATAATAACTTTCTGATAACTTTATCCAAAGTAACTGGTGGTAAAATGATAGACTCCTAGCATTAAGTGTTCGTCTTAATTTACAGCACAAATGATAAAAATGGTGCCACCTCTGCTTCCAGTACAGCTGAAGGATATATTGTTTGAGCACTGTCATAATGATGTACATGTGGACAACGGCTTGCTTCCACTAGTGCTTTGTGTAAAACTAAAAAGGTAAAATTTCAGGGGAAACGTTTCTGAGAACTGTTGTCGGTCAATTCTTAAGTGGTGGAGTAAGACGACGATAGTCTTGACAAAAACAAGGAGAAAAAGAGGTCAAATAAAGTTAAGCGTGATCCTGAAGTGTGTCCTGATGCATCTCAGTAATCCAGGTAAAAAAAAATCAAAAAGAAAAGACCAGTTATACATCGGGGAAACAAAGCAGCCACTGTTCAAAAGAATGTCCCAACACAGACGAGCTACATCCAATGGTCAGAACTCTGCAGTTTTCACTCATTTACAGGCCAGCGGTCACTCTTTCAGAGATGAGGATGTTCTCATTCTTGATAGAGAGGAACGTTGGTTTGAGAG